GACATAAAACCCAGTTTGGTGTCGTGCTTCTTTAAGAAGGCGTCCTTGTGGAGTTTTCTCAGCTCGTGAATGTTGCTGAAATTTTGCACATCGGAGAAAAAGATGGAAATCGGGAGCCTTAGGTACGGCTCAAAAAATCTAGACTGATGCTCACCTCATGTCTACCTCATTGAAGGTAGTCAGCATGGCGCAGGTGTTCTGAGCCTCCTTCAGCCTCTGAGCGATCCTCAGCCTCATGCGGTTCATCTTCACCTGGACACGGGAAACAACAGTCATCGTTATGCGTCTGTATTTTGAGGCCAAATTATTACAGACGTTGACGTAACAGAGGAATATATGAAATGTTGTGTCGACGAGTGTGTTACCCTGCTTTCTCCTCTCACTCCTGGAGCTGCAGGAGCTGCTGTGGGGGCTGGAGCTGCAACAGTGGGTTTGACAGCAGAAACTAAGTAAAAACATAAAAACATATATTAATAATTAAACTAAATCTTTGATTAATACATAGCTCTTGTACAATACATAGCTTAATACATAGCTCAAAGGTGTGAGAGCCAACATGAATTGATTGTAACTAGTGCTATCAATAGATTTAAAAAAATTAACTAAATAATCGTACAATTTTCTGTAATTAATCGCGATTAATCGCATTTACTTGATCAATAGCCTGGTTGCAATTACATTTTTTCAACTTTATATTTAAGCTTGTAACTGACATTCATGCAATATAATGAAGTAAATGCAGAAAGACACAAAGAATGTGTGCTTAAATTCAAAGAGAATTGGAATAGTTTTCTTCAGTCTTTTAGCACAGGTTCTCTCCTGTGAAATACACCTTTTAAAAAAACCTATATGCTAATATATATTAGTGTATACTTACCTAATATATATTAGTGCTGTCAAACAATTAAGATGTTTAATCAGATTCATTACACAGAGTCACTGTGGATTCATTTTGATTAATCACGATTAAATATCATTCATTTTTATTCTATATTAATCGCATTTCATTTTGCATGAGCAAACAGACTCGAGAAAAAAGGGAAAATATACGCACTTAACATGTTTATTGAACATCTTGAACATTAATGTTAACAAAAAACTCTCTCTGTCACTCTTGGGGAGGCACTTCAAGTCCTTGAAACGAGGAACCAAAGCTCTGTAAAGCGCGTGTTCTCAATTATGTTAATACGTCTGCAGTTTGTCGCAACTTGACAATTGTGTCAGTCAATAT